ATTTCAAGACTGTTTTATGCCACTACAAGGTCTTAAGAAGGACTGGCACCCACTGCCACAGCTTAAGGTCTGTGGGAGACACCCACCAAGTTCCGATTCTTCATTAATCAAAGTCAGACTTAAGAACATAAGAGATGCCAATGTTGGATCAGGCCAAAGGCCCATCCAGTCCAACACTCTGTATCCCACAGTGGCCAGAAATACCAGTGCCATCAGGAGGTCCACCACTTGCACCGCAGTTGTCCCCCCCCCCCCCTCTACAGTAAATGCTAACATATACATGCAGTTCTTATATGGTCACATGTTTGGTAGAAACTGCTGAGAATGGGATTTCCTGGGTGTTTCTTCACTTGTGTGTTGCAGTCAACAAGCAAATAAACGACAAAGAAAGAGTCGCAGCTGCCATGGAGAATCCGAACCTGCGGGAGATCGTGGAGCAGTGCGTCCTGGAACCTGAGTAGCTCCGGGCCTGAGAGTCCTCTGGCATCGTTTGTGCTGGCGTGTTCTGGGAAAACACGGGAGGCCTTTGATTTAATATTGAGGGGGGTCCCTTGCAGCTTCTGTATATTTTTAAAAAAATAATAATTTTATTAAAATCGTTTAAATTAAAAGGAGGGGTAGGAAGAAGCAAAATGTCCAGGCTTAAATGAGCATAAAGGACATATAATTTTTGTTGAAAAGATATTTTATATGAAGATTTGAGCCACTTTGCTACCTAATGGATTCATATAGTGTTTGAAATAAATACTGGTTTTGAAGGTTATTTCTGCACTTTGTGGTGGAGAAATATTGTTTTCATAGCATCACTGAAAAAGATGAATAAAATATGATGTTCTTGTAACTGTCTTCAATATTAAGGGGTTTTTTTGTTTAAGAAGGTATGTCAAAGCAGATTAAGAAAATTATACTGACTCTAGCATTACTTTAAAAATGTGTTTAAGTATCAGGTTATGGTCAGAACTTTTGCAGTAATGTTTATATTCTGTTTGAGCAATTTTAGTGAAGATTAAGTTACAGATACCCGTTAAACAAGTTGTAGAAAGAGAATATGGGTTCAGGAAGGCGTGGGTGGTTCTCCCGTCCTCTGTTTTGGTCCTCACAATAGTCCTGTGAGGTCGCTTAGACTGAGAATTTGAATGTGAGTCTCTTGTATGCTTCCACTAAACTGCCTTAACGAATTGAATTTATGACTAGGTCTAAAATACCTTGCTGTATTCAGAAATTCTATTTCTTTACCAGCCGATACAGGTTACTCCCCCCCCCCCCCAAGAGTTAAGAACATTAGAGCTCTGCTGGGTCAGGCCAATGCTCTGTAGAGTTGGCATCCTATGAGTCACACAGGAGTCAGCCAGTTACTATGGAGGGCCAAGAGCTACAAATACATCATTTTATGCCAGTTTGGTGTAGTGGTTAAGTGCACGGACTCTAATCTGGGAGAACCGGGTTTGATTCCCCACTCCTCCACTTGCACCTGGCTGGATGACCTTGGGCAAGCCGTAGTTCTGATAAGAGCTGTTCTTGAAAAAGAGCCATTTCTGTCAGAGCTCTATTAGCCCCACCTCCCTCATGGGGTGTCTGTTGTGGGGAAGGGAAGGGAGTTTGTAAGCCTCTCTGAGATTCCTTCGGATAGTGAAAGGCGGGATATATAAATCCAATCTCTCCTTCTTCTTCTTCTAAGTTATTATGTATGGAGAGAAACAGCACTTTATGAAAGTTTTTGTAGAGTTTTTCCCTGCAGTTAAAGATTCAGTTCAGTATTGTTCAACTGTATTAGAATTTGGCTAGTAGAAATGCTTGACTTTCACCAGAAAATGAGAGGATATGAAGACTTAAATTTTCCTTTTTGAAAAAGCAGTCAGTCTGGATACCTGGTATCTGCTGAATATTTTTATCCAGCTCTTCTCCAAGGAGTTCAGGGTAGCATCCCCATCTCCCTCCATTTCATACCCCAGAACACCCTGTGGGTAGATCAGGCTGAGGGCCCTGTTGACGCAAGGTGACCCAGCAAGTTTCCTAGCAGTTGGGATGGACACTGGATTTCCTGGGGCCCCTAACCACTCTTCCACACCAGCTAAAACACGTTTCCCCTTGACGAGGGTCATAAGAACATAAGAGATGCCAATGCTGGATCAGGCCAGTGGCCCATCCAGTCCAACACTCTTGTCACACAGGGGCCAAAAATACCAGGGGCCATCAGGAGGTCCAGCAGTGGGGCCAGGAGGACACTAGAAGCCCTCCCACTGCTGCCCCCCCTCCCCAAGCACCAAGAAGACAGAGCATCCCTTGCCCCAGAGTCCTTGTGGCTAAGAGCCACTGATGGACCTCTGCTCCATATGGTTATCTAATTCCCTCTTGAAGCCATCCATGCTTGTAGCCGCCACCCCCTCCCATGGCAGTGAATTCCACGTGTTAATCACTCTTTGGGTGAAGAAGGACTTCCTTTTATCTGTTCTAACCTGACTGCTCAGCAATTTCATAGAGTGCCCACGGGTTCTTGTCAAGTTGCTAACGAGGTCCAGCTGCTCATGGTCTCCAGATGTGTGTGTGTTTTAAATAGTAATAACCGGGCACCACGTCCTCCTTAGAAGTCTGAAGCCCTGTTCCTCTCTGCCAGCAGAGGGCCTCCCCGCACCGAGAAGCCCCTCCTTTCTTCCCCGGGTGAGTGTCTGGAGCATTTCCTAAGAGAAACGGCGAGCGCAGCTGTCCCCTGGTGAGTTTTCAAGGTTGGCTTCTTCCCAGTCGGGTGTTACAGAGCAGCTCCATGACCCAAGGCACATCGGGTAAACAGTGCACTGTCTTTACGGTGCCTGGAAATTCTGCCCATTGTATAACTCTCTGACAGTTTTGTCCCATCAGGCTTAAATTTGGCGCAGACTTACCTAGGCGTGTGTAAAAACTGCCTCAATTTCAGGAAAACCCAGCTTTAAAAATGTCCCAGGTACAACAGCAACCCCCCCCCCCCCTTTCTTGACGGGTGAGCAAATGTTCTGTCATTTCAGGAAGTGGGGAAAACCCCACCAGTCCCCTTTAGTGCTGTTTAGTGTGTCAGCGGAGCAGCTAGCGGCCACTCAGGATCCATAGAAGGGCTGGAGAAGCAGTGAAAGAGGAGACTCTCCCCGTTCTTAGTGAGCGAGGGCTTTTGACTCCAGAAGGATGGGCTAGGGAGGTCCTGTCTCAGGAGAATTCAAAAATCTCAGGCTGCCTTTTGGGTGTGGACAAGGAAAAACAGTGGGGAGGTGGAGACAGGATTTTGCTTCCAGAGGAGTGGGCTGAAAGAAATGCTTTGCTAGGAGACTGGCAGTGTCTTAAAAGAGTCCATTTTCTGGAGACGGCTTGGCTGGTAACGGCTCTCTGTGCTCCCACATCATCAGCTGTGACCTTATAAATGAATGGGCCCAGCAAGACCGTGTCACACCCATTAACCCTCTTTTCTGAACCTCCTTGTTCACGAATTCCTGGGAATAAGTAAAAAGCGACTGTTCTTTTCCCTCCTGGGTACTGGACATGATTCAGAAATCATTGAGTCTATCAGGTAGAGGGTTGCAGTCAAGAGCGCACTGGTCCAGCTTCACATCACACTACCTCTGTTTCAGTGTTGTTGAAGACCCTGACCCTGGCACAGGGCCACTGGTGTTGATGCCTATTCAGCATACTTAAAACGTACCCTTTTCTTTTAAATGTAGATCAAGGTGGGCCGCCAGGTTGGTCTGAAGCATGCACACTTCATCAGATAAAGTGTGTGTGTACACAAAAGCTCACACCTTGAATAAAACTTGGTTGGTCGTAAAGGTGCCTGACTGGACTCTAACATCATCCTTTTAAATGTAGCCCTTCTAAAACATTCCACCTGCCCTTGCTTGTTTGGTGGAAATCTGTTGTATTAATATACAGTGGTGCAGTTTCAGTGTTCCCATTGGTGTTACCCTTTGAAGCATGGGCCCATTACAGGCTCATGTTTGGTCATTAAATTTGGCTTTCTTGATTAAGCAAAACTGCTTGTGTCTGTTCAGGGGAGAAAGACTGAGCTCCAGCAGCCCAGATTAGCTAGCAAGGAAAACAACTGGGCCTTCAGGAAAGCCGCTTTGCACCCATGAACTCCGTGTCAGGGCTTTCTTTGTTTTTCTTTTCCTTATCACGGTCAACTGTTGCACAATTGTGCAGGAGCATTTCCCATTGGTCCCATTGGATCTGTTTTGAAGTCTGAGCGCTTCCTGTGGGTCAGTTCCATACCTCTTAATCTCTCTGCTACTGGGGGGTGGGGGGGGGAGTTGAGGATTAGGAACATCACTGGGTTGTGGTTTGTTGCCTGTGTTGAATTTGTTCTGGTAGTTACTGCGGAGCCCTGAAGAACTGGCAGCATAAACTCAAGCAGGAGGTTTTGAGATTTTGCTCAGCCAGAGATCACCACGTGACCCTGGAGGTCCCTTCCAACTCTGTTGTTCTGTGATCTGTGTTGCATGGCAGACTGCATTTGAGAGTGAAGAGATTGACCACCAGTTTGCAACGTGGCAGGGAGAGCCATTCGAAGAAGAGTTCCATTTGGGCTGCCACAAGTCCTTGGTGTGCTTTTTTTAAACAGAGTTGGATTACTCTGATTATATCAAACCAAGGTTCCCTTGGCCTCTGGTCTGCCCATTCAGAGCTGAGGATTTTCTCATCTGAGAGGGGTTTTGGCACTTTAATGACTAATGCTTTTAGGGAGGTGGGTTCCCTGCCCCCCAGTCTGACGAGGAAAGGTCGTTTCTTTCTCTTGAGTGTAGAGCAAGGATCAGTTTGTACACAAAAAAGGGTGTGAGTTAAGTCTGTTTAAACTGCAGGATTTTGGATCCTAGAAATATTTCCGTAGTCCGGGGTGGTTTTGCCACCATTCCGTACCACTCAGTCGGAGGTCCCTATGCCAAGGTATACTCCATTTAATCACTTGGAAAACTGGCAGATGTCAATGTTGCCCTGGGCACAGGCTCCCTGTGAGAAAGCCCCTTCGACCTGCTTTTATTGTACCGCTGTTTTCTGGCAATCCGGAGCTGGTTCATTAACTGTGGACCGAATGATGAGCCGGGCGCATCGTGCAGTCTTCCCACTGTGTACCAACCCCTTCCCTGCCCTCATCCACTGGGTGCACTGGCTTGTTCGTTGGGAGCAGCTGGATCGACCATGGAGAATGGCCAGGAAACTTCACCACCTGGAGCCTTTTCCCAATGAAGGTCTGTCACAGAAATGTACTTTCAAGGTTAAGGGACGTGGGTCACAGTGCGTGGCCTCCCTTCCATCTCTTGTCCGCCCAGCCTGCCTTCTTCAAAGCGAAGGTGGTTAAATCATGCCACACGTTACTATTTTGCACCTTACAATTATCCCCTACAGCTCCACACTGGAAGGCACGCCTTTTCCTTGCCTAGTTGTGGTAAGTTGAGCATGATCAGGGGATGCACATGAGGAGGGTGGAGCATGCCATGGGTGGGTCTCCTGTGTGACTGAAATACGATAACAGGCAGTGAGGGCAGAGTTCCGTGTGCAGATGTTTGAGACAGGACAAAAGCAACTGTCGGAACTTCCAAGAATTTTTAATAGTTTGTGTGATGAGGTAGTTGCGTGGATGCCTGAACAGGTGCTCATTTTTCTTGGGTATGGGAAGATTCCCATTGGGCAAGGGAGGAGTTGATAATCTATGTCCCTCCAGCTGAATGGCGCATCCATAAAATGATTCCTTGTGATAGTAAAATGAGCGGCCCCTTCTGATCACCAGCAACCCCCCCCCCCCCCCCGAGCACCACAAAAGCCAGGCTCCTCCAACTCTGCAGGAGGC